TTTTTACCATGAAAAAATTAAGTGTTATTTGGCAGTCAGTAATATCTAAATTTTAAGCCAGTGCTTGTCTTTTATTCAACTGAGATGATATAGAAAATCAACAAGCTTTGCTGGTCATTTTCAGCAGACAGCAGACACTGAGTCACTACAACTTGCCACAGCAGTAATGGCGGTGCCGCTAGATAGTGGAACACACAAACCGGACACAGGAGCATACAATTCAACATACATGGAAACTAATGCTTAAAGTGAATTAATATTAAGTTTGACTTAAATTAGTAAATGCCCTATTTCTAAAGTACCATATTATTTTTCAGTTAAACAAGTGAAAGAATCTGCCAGTACATTCACAATATTTCAACCCATCTGTGTCTTGAAACAAGAAAGAATAATGCAGTTTGCTATGGTTGAATCAAGATTAGATTAGTTTAAGATTTGCAATGGAGACAGGTTTAAGTATTACTGCAACTGTCTGAAGAAAATCAGAGGTGTGTTCAGACGGAAAGCAAATCAAATGTTCATGTTATTTGCACAGATTGGAGCAGGCTGTAAATAACACCTGACATATGGGAGAACAACTGGCAGCTGGCAAGGGTAGGTCTAAATATCAGAAAACAGTCATATGACTATTTTCATAGGCAAACACAGCAACCATAGTGTGTTGTTGAGTCTGGAAGACATGTTGGTTGGACACATTTCAGGTGTGATATTCACCCCTAACTGCAGTGCTTTTGAATTCATTATCCGTCAGGTCATGCTTTTGTGACCTCTCCATTTTTAGATTTTTTTTATACACGTAGAAGCTCCATGATGGAGTCAGATCTGGTTAGAATTCAGATCAGAAGTGCATGGTCTCTGTGTCACTTAACTCAATTTGAGACATCTTAATGAGAGTGAGATCAAAACCAAGGGGTTCAACATGATATACTATTTCTCAAAGTGACGATAAATATTGCAGATGGATGCACAACGCTGATTCTTCAAGATCAAATATGGAATGGGAAAAAGGTATGTGTGCATGGCTTTGCACGTCGGTGTGTGTGTCAGTGTGAACATACGAGGAGTGCAACATCAAAAGGAAAGCACATGATCCTCTTACAGTGGGTAGCGATGTGTTCACGGTGTGATGGAGAGCTGGTAAATATGACCTGCAGCACAAATAGTATGTGTGTGTGTGTGTGTGTGTGTGTGTGTGTTTTGTGTGTGCGGGAATGTGCGTGCTTATATCAATGGACACATGTCATATCCCTGCTGCTGGCCACTGATGAGCATTAACAAGTCCCCCCACTCATTTGTTTGGATAATAATGTCTCTCATCAAACATAGGAAATGAGTTAAACCTCTAATCTCTGATTCAAGAGAAAGAATTCAGAGACCACCCGCTCTTACCGCTGGTACATAGTCCAGTCTTGATGCTCTTATCTTGCTACAGTACATTCAGTTTCAGCACACACAGAAAGGTCTATACAGTCACACTGTAGCAACTACTCGTAGTGGCTCCTAGGCAACAGGACAAACGTATAAATTTACAGACAGATCTGACTCACATGGGATTTAAAGATCACATGGGGTTATAGGGAAATGCGTGGCCCCCTGTTTTTCCCAAGTGATCCAACTGTAGTGATCCTGTCTACTAAACATTTTGATATTTGCAAGGTGCACTTTGGATTGCGGCACTTTGACCAATTCTTCTGAGCGCCACACCCCCCACAAAATGATTAGTTTTACTATCAAAATTAGATCCATTTGCAAAGTCTTTTCAATCATTTTATCCTCATTCAAGTAAGCAGAGCGCTAAACCGGAAATAACCCGCTCAGCAGACAGAAGTCTGTGCTCCATGTGCCACACATGCGGAACCAGTGCTGATCATCTGAGTAATTTTGTATGCAGAAGTTGGGGCATCATTTAGCTCACCTGGTAGAGTGTGTGCCCCATCAACCCTTCTCATCCCAACTTCTCAAATATCACTGCTTTGTCGGTGCCATTCACGTCTACATATTACATGCTAGGAATCCTCCCTCGTTTGTTTTTGATGTTCCAGGATGGCGTGTCAATATACGTCTGGTGTGTTTTCTAAATAGATGGCCATTTTCACAGGAAATGTAGAGTTTCTGCTTGTTAGATGCTTAGAGTCTTTTTCAAAATAAACTTACAAAAGCAGTAAAACACCTTAACACAAATCGTCTCCAGAGCCACAGAAGACAACGTATAACTCCTTTTGACAAATAAACTAACTTGGTTATCTGTGGTGTTCAGGATTGATTTTAAAATTGTATTGTTTGTTTTCAAATCATTGAGTGGCCTTACCCCATCATACATAAGTGATCTTCAAGGGTCCGTGTACTTTGCGGCCATTCGTTATTCGTTTTGAAGTAGGTAAACAAAAAACAGGAAACAATCCTATTTTCCTTTTTTGTTTTGAAGTAGGTAAACAAAAAAACGGGAAACGAGTCATCTCCCGTTTCTCGTTTGGTAATTGGAAATCGAAAAAACGAAAAACAAGTTTATTAACCACAAGTCGGGAAATAAAATACGACCGTAATTCTTTTAATCAAACTTGCTTTGCCTTAACCCAGAAACCATTCTTATTCTTCTCCTGCTTTGTTTGCGATGGCAGACTAGACTACGGCGCATTGCTGCCCCCTGCTGATATTACTGGTTTGCTGCGCTTGTGCCGTGCCCCGTTACAGCAGCCTACAAGCATGCTGTGTCAATAAATCAGCTCAGACACTGTTAGAAATGTAGTATTTAGCCTAATAACATCATGCTACAGCAGCAGTAATGTCAGCTTTAGTGAAATGGCTCTAGCTCTCCCGGTAAATGTCATAAACTCTGGACACATTTTCCCTGTATGTTGACATGATAATGGCCGCGTTTCCCAGATCGCTCTTAGCTAAAGATCTTTCACTAAGAAGGAGTTTTAAGATTGAGCTGACCCACTCTTAACAGTCTTCTTAGCAACCAAACGCTCACAGATCCAGCCGCGGCAGGCACATCAATATTACACTAAGCAAGGAGATGTTAAAACAGTGCGCGCCGTAGCCTATATATTTTGATCTAATTCATACTTCAGATTTATATTGTTTGGCGTTAATTGGTGACAGAAAAGCACGAAATTCATTCTGCAGGGAAACGTGTGTCCTTACTGTGCATATTGAATCTTGAATCTATATGTGTTATGAAGACCCTGTGTGCGCTCCAAGCTGTGGCACAAGTTACACACCGAAGTCTGGCAGAAGAAAAATAGCCTAATAATAAGACGAAAATTAAGTAGGCTGTGTGGGCCACCCTGATGAGGTGGTGGGTGATCGATGTGCCTGACATCGATTGATTTAGTTTCAGCACCACGGTAGTGGCCAGCTCCTGTTAAGAGTTTCTTAAAGAGTGATCTCAAGTAAAATCTTAAATGGATGCAGAAAGTGAAAAGAAAGCAATAGCCTAATTTAAAAAGTTGCCTCTATTGAAAATGCATTTAATCTCTGATTCAATTTGAAAGCTATTTCTCAAGACAAGTTCTGTAATTACCTTGTCCGTTTTCATTCTGTTTATATCTTAACAGGAGCTGGCCACTACCGCGGTGCTGAAACTAAATCAATCGATGTCAGGCACACCGATCACCCACCACTTCATCAGCACACAAGTCACACACAGCCTACTTATTTTTCGTCTTCTTCTTATTATTATTGTTATCAATAAAAAAAAGTTTCCACTAATTATTTCGGTGTTTATTTCTTTTATTCTTAAGTTTTTTTTATTAAAATGCGTAATATAGCCAACAATATTATAGACCAAAAGTTAATGTAATTTATTATTGTAGAATGTATTTAGCAAATCACCACTTTCAACTGGAGACACGGCACAGCAGCAGCACACCAGGAAAAAAAAAAAAAAAAAAAAAAGCCATTATAAAAAGCCGACAAATAGTGTTAATTAATTGACATGAGACATTGGAGAGGTTGTCTGGGAAACGCGGTCAATATCATGTCAACATACAGGGAAAATGTGTCCAGAGTTTATGACATTTACCGGAAGACCTAGAGCCATTTCACTAAAGCTGACGTTATTACTGCTGTAGCATGATGTTATTAGGCTAAATACTACATTTCTAACAGTGTCTGAGCTGATTTATTGACACAGCATGCTTGTAGGCTGCTGTAACGGGGCACGGCACAAGCGTGGCAAACCTGTAATATCAGCAGGGGGCAGCAATGCGCCGTAGTCTAGTCTGCCATCGCAAACAAAGAAGGAGAAGAATAAGAATGGTTTCTGGGTTAAGGTAAAGTAAGTTTGATTAAAAGAATTAAGGTCATATTTTATTTCCTGACTTGTGGTTAATAAACGCATAATAGAAAATCAGATAAAGACTCGTTTTTTGATTTCCAATTTCCAAACGAGAAACAGGAGACGATTCGTTTCCCGTTTTTTGTTTACCTACTTCAAAACGAATAACGAATGGCCGCAAAGTACACGGACCTTCAAGCCACCACCTTGTCCTCTTTCAAAATTCATTTAAAAACTCATTTTTGTAAAATGGCTTTTGAGGGATTTTTTTCTTTTGTGTGTGTGTGTCTTTGTTTGTTTGTTTGTTTGCTTTATGCTTTCATTAATTTGCTCATCCTCAAAGTTTTATTTGTATGCCTAGTCTCTATTTAGTTATATCCTGTTTTTATGTGAAATTTCAACGCCATACCTGAAGCAAAAAAAGACAAAACTGTTTACAATGCAAACATCTGCATCTGGTAATGTACCACCGTGTGTCTCCACCAGCCTACTGTTCTGGAATCAGACTGTAAATAACATCTGACATATGAGTCACACGTTCATACAGTCATTCAGTGTTCGGGCTGCCACTGGGCCTCTTGTAGGATTTGGAGGGTAAAAAAATGAAATGTTGTATATTAACAGTTCTGGTAAGACCTTCCTCTACAGTTTGCCTTTCACTATATTCTCTTATGCTGATTTTTTTTATTTTCTCTGTGCTTCTGTCCTCTCTTCCCAGGTGTAACTACAGTTCTCACAATGACAACCCTGAGTATCAGTGCCCGTAATTCACTGCCTAAGGTGGCCTATGCTACAGCTATGGACTGGTTCATTGCTGTCTGCTATGCCTTCGTCTTCTCGGCACTTATTGAATTTGCCACCGTCAACTACTTCACCAAGCGAGGCTGGGCCTGGGATGGAAAGAGTGTCGTCAATGACAAGGTAGGGCTGTCACACACCTAGAGTGGCTACACCTTTTCAGGATCAATTCTGAAGGCCAGTTACAGTCAGGAGATTAATGTGTGTGGATTTGTTCCATGAACGGAGAGATTTCCTCATCAGTTAGTTGGGGGGGTCCTCTCAGACACTTGTATCTGAAACAAGAAAGCTCTATTTGAATGTTTTTTACGCACTTCTGCACCAAAGTGAACCAAAAACATGAACAAAAAAAGTCCCAGGGTGAATGTATTCAGCGTGCCACATGGCCCCCTGTCAAGGGCCAGATTTGGCCCACAGGCTGTAAATTGAGTATCACTGTGCTAGACTATAGAAGAGGTAGGGAGGTGTATGGATGACCAGTACACAACAAGACTAGCCAAACTTTGTTTTACTGGGCTGCAAGTGTAGCTCTTTGGTAATGTACATACACTGACAAGAACAGGTAAACCAAGCCATTAAGTTGAATGCTGTGAATTCTCTGCATTTAACACTCTTTCCATTGTCACCCTTGGCCCTGCCAAGTAAAGCCATGGAACGCCAATTTTTGTTTCCATTATCAGTTAAGACACACCGTGCCACACCAATTTGCCCCAGAGATGAAAACAGGAGTAGGTCCAAAGCCAGGCCGCCAGCCCTCAAGCTGGTAGCAGTGCAGGGTGGACTGCAACCAACCCCCAGTTATTACCATTGAAGGAACTGAAATGTGTTTCTCACTGAATTAGCGGAACTTTGTCTGTGGCTTTTCTTCAATAAAGACAGGTCTAATAATACAGCAGTGAAGACAGTGAAAGCAGAAACAGCCACAGTGAGATGCTGATGAAGAGCTACAGACAACAGGCTCTTACTGCACCTTAGCAAACAGCTCACCTCCAATAGGTAAACTTCTTTTACCTGCCGTGCTGTGGAAAAACACATGCAACCCAAGTAACGCGGGACTGTGGCTGTGGATCAGCACTCTGCTTTTAAATGTCTTCACTCAAGACAAGCTGTCATCGGTTTAATACACACCTTCAAGCAGGTAACACTGTTGTAATGGAAATGCAAATCCCTGCTGTGCTGGGTTGATGGCCCAAACCAAGTCAAGCCAAGCCAAGCCAGCCCATGACTGCTGAAAAGGGATATTAGTTTACTTTCTCATGAACTTAATTGAGCTATCATACATTATCATAAAAAAGCTGGTATTCAAATAATGGCCGGTTGCTAATAACAGCAAAATTACCTCTGACATATACCACAACAGCTCACATAGTAAATTTAACATAATGCATATTCCCATAGCAGTACAACAACAGAGTCAGGATTTATACACCACTCTGCTGCTCTGAGTTTCTAAGAAATTTATTTTGTGTCTAAAAAGTTATTACATTATTTTACTGTAGATACTGTACATAATTGCAATTATCCATGTGGCAAAGTATAAATGTTACCTTTGCATCAAGAACACAGTAGGCAAAACAATGGCAGAGGGAATAAGAAAAACGAAAGGTACAGGCTGTGACCGATGAGGTGCAGAGGCATTCCTCAGAATTTTAGGTGAGAATTCAAACTTGACAGAGATTTGATATCTCATTTTGTCAGTGTTGTTGCTGTTTTCAGAGGCACACCATTGTGCGTAAATGCACATAGCGTCTTTCTTAATGTGACATACAGCAGCAACTCTGCAGCTGTGCTCTGCTCTCTGTGTGCACATTTTAGAGAGTGTATAATTAATATTTTTCTCATGATGTATTATTTCATCCACCTGCAGCCCATTTGCCATTTATCAGAATGTTGTTGCTAATGTATGAGAGCTTTGATGATGACTGTGTAAACCCCGTGTATGGTGATGTTGTTGATGTAACATTGGTGCAAAGAAACATGAATCAGTCTGTCTTTGTCTCGCATGCTCACTCACTAGCTGAGTAGACTGCGTATGTGAGGGAACCTAGATGTAGCAGGTGGATGCTTCTTGTGCGTACAAAACAGAATCCTGCTATTGCCAGTGGACATTTGTGATAAGAGAGAACATCCACGTAGGAGAAATCGCTACATAGGGCATAATGGGCTCTAGTTTCCCGGCGCAGCGCAGGGTGGCGCAAGGTGGCGAACCCCACGCAGAGCTAGTTTCGAGCAGTGCAACCCGAGGCGCACTCAGTTTGGTAGTTTGGCAGACCGAGGTGCACTGAGATGGGTGTGGCGGCGCAGCAGGGGGAGGTGTCGACAGATCCAGCTTGGCGCAGTGACAGCTTCGTGCCAAAAGGCTTCACCGAAGGTGCGCTAAAAGCTCACCAGCTGAAACCAGGTCTACTGTCAGCGCAGGCGGAGCGCAGCCGGTGTAAGCGGAAGTTTGGCTGACCGGCGGACAGTGCGCACACGTCACCAAAACCTCACAGGCAGGTTTCCAGAATATCAGGCACATTAACAATGCAATAAATAGAAACAAAACCACTATTCAATGCAACTATCTGCAATCAGCACATAAATGTATCTCTATATCGACTGTCCCGTCACATCTGATGGCAGATCAAAGGGGATTGGCACCGTTTGGCACGTTTGGCACGCGTAATGGAAACCCAACCTGATTTGATTAACACAGCTGCAAACTAATGAGTTCACATCCCTCTCAGCCAACCACAAACAGCCACAGCATCAGATAGGGAGTATATATTCAGCATCTGTCATCTTAGAAAAGTCAAAAGAAACAGAGTGAGACTGCAAGAGAGAAAGAGAGAGAGCGCGCGCACGAGAGAAACGCAACATTGATTTACAATTGTGGTGACCTCCTCCCAGGCTACCTTTGCATCATCAGCCCGTGGAGGTCTGCTCGCAGTTCCGTATATTCGGACACTGCGAGCTTGGACCTCCCGGACCAAAACATCAGTTTCCTCCTGGGAGAAGTTCGGCCGTCTGACGCTGCTGGTCTCTTCTGCCATGGCGAATTGAGTAAACTCTCATTACACCTTCGCGTGGCACATTTAAAGGCGAGGAGAGGGGCTCATTTGATTGGTGTGATGTGTGTAAAACCCACTCCACGCCTTCTCTCCTCCCTCTTTCCGACATGCGCAGGTAGGAGGGACGGAGGTGGGAAAGAGGAGTAGCTGCGCCAGGCGCACAGTGTGCCAAACTTCACACCCAGTTGGTGAAGTGCAGATGCACTGCGCCTCCGCCTCGCCCGGTCTGCGAAACTAGAGTCCAATATCTCATACCTAAGAGATTACATCCTGTATTTAGGAGATGATATCCCCTATGTAGAAAATGATATTTCAAACGTAGGAGATAACATCCCGTACTTAGGTGATAATATCTCCTACATAGAAAATAATATCTTAAAAACAGGAGATACCATCCTGTAAGTAGGAGATAATATCTCCTATGTAGGAAATAATACCTAAAAAGTAGGAGATAACATCCGGTGCTCAGGAGATAATGTCTCCCACATAGGAGATAACATCCAGTACTTAGGGGATAGTATGTCTTACGTCGAAAATAATATCTCAAACACAGGAGATAGCATCCCGTTCTTAGGAGATTATATTTCCTATGTAGGAAATAATATCTCAAACATAGGAGATTACATCCCGTATTTATGAGATAATATCTCCAACATGGTAGATAATATCTCAAATGTAGGAAACATTATCCCATACTTAGGAGACAATATCTCCTACGTAGGAAATAATATCTCAAACGTAGGAGATAACATCCTGTCAGCAGGAGATAATATATCCTTTGTCAAAAGTTCTTTTTTTCATCTTGCCTTTCAGGGCTACCGTAGGGTATAGTAATTTTAGACAAGAATAAAATGCAGATGAGGAGTTGTTTTTGTTAAGAGCTAAAGACCAGCTAAATTAAGGGAGCATCTTAAAAGTAGAGAAATCTAAATTTTCTGGTAACATGTTTAGTTATTGTACTGTGCTAACTGGATAATGTTATAGGCCACTGAATGCAAAAGTAATTTATGGAATATATGAAATGCTTGAAAGAGTATATGATATGAATAATGAGATATATGTTTTGGGTGACTTTGATAAAATATATTTAATGGCACTTATTCTGACATGAAAGCAGTAAAGTGTGGTATGCTTTGAATTTGAATTTTTATTAATAATTGTCCGTTTATTTTGAATAATGCCAGCATTTTAATTTATGCAGATGACTGCACAATATACATACCAAAGCCCACACCTAGAGACCTGGAAAAGGCCACAAATTAGGAATTGAAATGAGTAAAAGAATGGGTATCAATAAAAAAGGTTCTTGATTAAAATCCTTGATGTGGGGAAGTTTAAATGTGTGGTATTAAAGGTCATGCCCCTTTGCACTTAACTACAGGCCAAGCTGCTGTTTGACAAGTGACCATAACGAGCCTGTTAGGTATTTATATAATGGTGGCCAAGGCTACCACCATGTGTGCACTGGATAAATATTCACAGGGATGCATGATTTGCACAATTTTGAGCGATTTGGGGTTTAGTATCTTGCCCCCAGGACACTTGGATATGTAGAATGCCGCAGCCAGGGATCGAATTACCAAACTTCCAAATTGTTGACGAGCTACAACCTCTTATAGGTGGTACAAAACAAAGGATCTCACCTGGCACTTCTCTGCCTATTTAGAATGTCCATTTGGGACAACATGTCTCTCGTGCACACATAGTTCCTCTCTACCTACCCACAAGTCTGTAAATTACTTCCGCCAGCTTATTCGTCAGTTCTCTCTTGGACCCACCTTCGTTGCGGTATTTGAGTGTGTTACTTGCTCCTAGTTGGTGTTCTTGCTTGTCATTATTGCAAACATATGGCACACATCAAAACACAGTGAATTTGTGTCCTTTCAAAATGTGTCTGCACCACATTATCAATCGAACATGAAATTATTGTAATGCTTATTTCAAAAGGTCCCTAACCCTGAGGTGTTTTCCCTGCAGAAAAAGGAAGCGTCAATAATGAAGAAGAATAATGCCTATGCTGTAGCTGTGGCTAACTACGCTCCCAACATCACCAAAGACTCCACGCTGCCCACCATCTCCAAGTGTGCCCTGAGCGATCCAAACAAGACCACATCGGAGACGAAGCCCGAACAGAACAAGAAAACCTTTAACAGCGTCAGCAAAATCGACCGTATTTCCCGCATCATGTTCCCCGTGTTGTTTGGGAGCTTTAACCTGGTCTACTGGGCCACCTACCTGAACAGAGAGCCAGTCATTAAAGACCTGAACCCTTCCAAATGAACTGTAGTGACGAGCAGACAAGCACACAGCCCATTCAGGACTAAAAAACATCTGTTGGTATTCATTTTTATCAGCCAAATACTGTTTACATGCACAGAGAATTCCCTTCCCTCTTTCCTTACTGAGTACAGTTTTCGATTGATGCAGGTAAACATTATAACTGAGTTAGAATAAACCTGAGAGCTCATATTACAGGAGTAAGCCAGACATCTTTATCAAGTTACAGTCAGATAGAATAGCCTACTTTTAGTTTAAGCTGCACAAACAGAGAGAAGCAAACCTTAGATCTTAAAAAACATTGAATTGCATTCCAAAAAGGATATTTTCTTTAATTATGGCTTCCAAATGTAATAATTATGATAGAAAAGGCTAATATTCGAAAACAATACAGCAAAAACTAGAAAATTATCACTGTTTAAAGCTGCACTAAAAAGTGTTTTTATATTAACAATGGATCAACTGACTGGTGTGTTACAAACAGCAGACAGACACAGTTAGAGACTAGCTGGTGAACATAGCCTCCTAAGATACGAACTTTTGTTTGGTATGTATTTTTAATTTCTCCTAGCTATTTGGGATCAGTGGGACCTGATAAGTAAAATGTCCTCAATGGCGTCAAACTGAACAACAATAAAGTCCCAGTGTCTTCGAGCAAGTATTTCATAATTAACAGTGTGTTAGCTTGTTACTGTTGCTCAAATTTGTAGCTGTATCAAACTACAGACATCATTAATGATAACTAAACAAGTTTTAACCATAAAATGTGATCAGGTTTTGGACCTTGTCTACTTTTGTGTCTGGGTCGGCTGCAGACTGACTTGGCAGAGATGGCTGCCATATTGTTTTTTCATGGATTAGTGTATTGTGCTCTTACTACCACTAGATGGCACAAAAATGTCCATGAACGAGGACAACAAGTCTAGGTTAAGCAGAATGAAGTATAAGGTCAAGTGAGAAGGACACAGGGTCTCAGGAGGATAGTCGAACATTTAGCAGCTCAAGAGACAGATTTTTCCATTAGTTGGTGGAGACCAAACCAGAGCTAAAAGGTGAGTAAATATTGGACCTGCTATTTGTGTGAATATGCAATTGTTTCACAATATATTAAGTTTGTGTTTTCAGCTTATTTTTCTGCCCTCAAGTGGGGCAACTGAGTTTGCAGGAAGTTGTCTGCTTCTGTCTCCCTAGAAGGTGGTCACATTAAAATATTTACCACATCAGACTATTAGCAAAATGATGGTTGATGCATTTAAAGAATCTTTGTTTAAATTTGTGAACTTCATGTAAAGCACATAAGTAGAATACTGGAGACAGGTAGCTGAACATGGAGGCCTCTAGTTTCGCAGACCGGGCGAGGCGGGGGTGCAGCGCACCTGCGCTTTGCCAACTGGGTGTGGCCAGGCAGATTTTGCAAGTTTGGCACACCGTGCGCGCTGGCGCAGCTACTCCTCTTTCTCACCTCCGTCCCTCCTACCTGCGCAAGTTGGAAAGAGGGAGGAGAGAAGGCGTGGAGTGGGTTTTATACACATCACACCAATCAAATGAGCCCCTCTCCTCGCCCTTAAATGCGCCACGTGAAGGCTTAATGAGAGTTTACTCAATTCACCATGGCAGAAGAGAGCAGCAGCGTCAGACGGCCAAACTTCTCCCAGGAGGAAACTGATGTTTTGGTCCGGGAGGTCCAAGCTCGCAGTGTCCGAATATACGGAACTGCGAGCAGACCTCCACGGGCTGATGATGCAAAGGTAGCCTGGAAGGAGGTCACCACAATTGTAAATCAATGTTGCATTTCTCTCATGCTCGCGTGCGCTCTGTCTTTCTCTCTTGCAGTCTCACTCTGTTTCTTTTCTTTTGACTTTTCTAAGATGACAGATGCTGAATATATACTCCCTATCTGATGCTGTGGCTGTTTGTGGTTGGCTGAGAGGGATGTGAACTCATTAGTTTGCAGCTGTGTTAATCAAATCAGGTTGGGTTTCCATTACGCGTGCCAAACGTGCCAAACGGTGCCAATCCCCTTTGATCTGACATCAGATGTGACGGGACAGTCGATATAGAGATACATTTATGTGCTGATTGCAGATAGTTGCATTGAATAGTGTTTTTTGTGGCTATTTATTGCATTGTTAATGTGCCTGATATTCTGGAAACCTCCCTGTGAGGTTTTGATGACGTGTGCGCACTGTCCGCCGGTCAGCCAAACTTCGGCTTACACCGGCTGCACTCCCTCTGCGCTGACAATAGACCTGGTTTCAGCTGGTGAGCTTTTAGCGCACCTTCGGCGAAGCCTTTTGGCACGAAACTGTCACTGCGTCAAGCTGGATCTGTCGACACCTCCCCCTGCTGCGCCGCCACACTCATCTCAGCGCACCTCGGTCTGCCAAACTACCAAACTGAGCGTGCCTCGGGTTGCGCTGCTTGAAACTAGCTCTGCGTGGGTTTCGCCACCCTGCGCCACCCTGCACCGCACCGGGAAACTAGAGCCCGGAGTCTCATTCACCGATCATCAAACACTGACAATCTTGGCTTAATAGTCTGACCAGCCACCAACCTAGGGCTTCGGTATTTGATGAGACTCAACAATCAATTGTCTTTCTCCATAGATACATACTGCACCTTTAAATCTAATAATCTTTTACTAGAATAATGGTGAAATAGTGTTTTGTATTGCCTAGATTTTTGTGCAAGAAATCTTGTCATGTACATTGTGACTATCCTACTGACAGAATTATGTTTATTTATGTATTTATTTTTGTATTATTATTATTTACAAAATTATTTTCAATTATGATTTTGACTTCCATTGGTTATAAAAAAAAACCAAGATAATCAAGATAAAATGATTAATGCACCGCATTCTGTTCTGCAATGTCGAAGTGTTAAAAATTCAGCGCAACATTCTTCTTTACAGTGGTGTGCTTACACCCCTCCCTAAAAGCCCAAACTCACTCAGCCAGGCTGTGGCATGTTTAGTTTAGCTCGAACCAAGTTGGCAGAAAGATTGCCTTTAGTCAATGAGTAATCATATTAAATAATTGTGATGTATTGACCAAAATAATTGTGATTAGGATTTCTGCCATGATCTAGCAGTCCTAGTACTACAATTAAAAGGTCTTTATGTTGTAAGAATAGCAAAATATTTTAAGCTATACAGAGAGTTCCAAATCTATTTGTCGTTACACTGTTTAATTTGTCAGTGCCTGAGAGCATGTCCCCGCCACCTGCCAAAAAAAGACTACTGGATTAAGGTGACAAAACAAGCTCCACTTTTTCTGGAGCTTTCAAAGATATCACACAGTGTTCATTAGCCGATAAGGTTTGCTCAGTTTCCTGCATCTGTGATGTTCGAACCTTTCATTATTCTGAGCACTTGTATACAGGCTTCCTGCGGATCCTTACAAAGTCTTAGAAGGCACTGAATTGATCAAAAAAAGAATGAATAAAAATAAGGGCTTAATGGGTATTAAAATCTGAAATCATTATTTCAGAAGCCTTAAAGCTGCTGACATGGAAAGCAAGACTTCATGGATATTTTTTCAGACATTGCATTGTAAAATATCTAAAATAATTTGTTACATCTTTTTTTGTATTGCCTATCACCTGAAGTCATTTCGTGTTTTCTTGTTTTGTCCTTGTTTTGTTGTATAATTGGTATTAAATTTCATTCCAAGTAGCATTAACAAGGTTTTTAAAAGTCTTAAATCTAACTTGCCTAATGATTTAGGAATCCTGAGTATGACTTCCTGTTCATGTTGAATTTAAAGTAAATGACCTGTCAAGCCCTACATGGTAGGGATAATGGAAAGAGGAAGGTCATGGCAAATAAAGTATTGTTGCGGGTTAGCAACTAATTTTATGACAAATGTGCTGCATTTCTAGCACTATTCTAGATCAGCTGGATTGAGGGTGTTATGAAAATGAAGAATGCATCAAGAACAGTCTTATTGAGTGGAGCCTGTATTAATAAATGAGAGAACAATCATAATAATTAGGGGTGGACTTAACCATTAGGCCCCAACTAAAAGTACCCAAACAATTATGGATCTGTGAGGATGTTTAGATATAAATAATACTGAATCATGTTACTATTCTGAATCACTGTAACCCAAAACCGAAACAACATACAAAGGACCTCACTACAGAGGAAAAGACTGTACCACTACATTTACCTAAAAAAATGACAGTTACTGGTTACAGTACGTTGAAGATCTAGATTTTCACTCACAAAATATAAAAGTTAAAATATGATGCATTATTATTTATTGAACTATCCAGCATTATAAAATAATTAAAAGCTCCACTTTCAAGTAAATTGTGCTAAAAATACCTCTCCTGACTGCAGGACTTTTACTCTGACATTTACTGTGTGCTATTAATGGTTTTACATAAGAAAAGGTTTTGTGTACATCTTCAGATGCACCCTGTCTTTTCTTTGACCCACTTTTCCACCTAGATATATTTTGCCAAAGCCTAGCAACAATCTCAATTAAAAAGAGGGTGAAAATAAAGCAAGGCAGTTTGCCTGGGGCCCCAGGCCCCCAAATGACTAAATGCAACCCTGTTAATAATAATGAAAGCACAGCGCAGAACGGCTGGATGAAAGGAGAGACAGAGTGAAGTTTCCTCGTAGTTATGAATAATTTCATCCAAACTCTTAACTAAAACTGAAACTAAAACAAAGTAATCTGTGGAAGTCTGAAGAAGTCACTTTCAATCAATCGATTGACCAGCTGTGTGATCAGGCATCAGGATGGTCCAAAAATGTGTTATTATTTTTATTAGGCCTACTTGTTTTTGTCAGTTGCTTAAAGTAGTAAAATTATTATTGATATGAGCTGCTTAATTCTCATCACTGATTGTGGGGACTGTATGATGATTGTTATTTTAAAGAGAAAAAAAGTGGCATAGCAAAACCATAGCTTTGCTCCCCCTAATTGTATAATGGGGATGCATTTGCTCCACTTGCTCCATTGCTTAGGCGCCTATGTTCCTATTTACAGTGCAAGAAGAAATGAACACTCCATCCGGTTATGGTATAAATATATTGTTTTGGGTTGTATTAACCAACAACTAACGCTGTCATACTGTATTTCCTGGACAAAACACTAACAGCTGGCAGGAAGTGAATGTAAAAAATGTAATTTGTCTATAATCAACAGGAATAATAGTGACTATCTGAGGATCCTTTTCTCCTAAATTTGTGACAGTTTTCTCAGAATAGTGAGGTGTAATACTGATGGGTTGTGGAAGCCATAATTACAAGAAAATGTCTCTAAATTTTATTTTAACTCGTCACACATTTGAATCTTAACTACTAGTTTTGTCAATGATGAACTTGTAGCAGCACTGTTGCTTCATCATCTGAATGCTAAACATGAACTGAAACCTCCCCACTTTTATCTGAATGCTCCTCAGTCTGTCACATTAACATCTATGCCACATTAGACAATTTGCTGTGAACTTATTCCACACTACAGCTTCACCACTATCAGAGCCAGGGCTAAATGGTGCGCTGCTGCTCACTCTGTAGCTTTTGTACAGCTTTTTAAACTTTTATCTTCCCCACATGGACTGTGTCACACTGTGTAAGATGATTCTGACTGGGTACTGATGTGTGAGAATAGGTCTCTGTGTGTATGAAACATGTACGTATTCAAACATTTTTTTAAAGTGTCTGTGTTTATTTAAATGTATTTTTGTTTTATTGTAATCTTTTTATATGAAATGTAGCAGGAGCACAGGACCTACACACATTTAATAATCTCAACATAAAGAAGATAATGCTGTGACAATAATACTGCATTCATTGATTTT